GGAGGATGCGTGTGGAGCGTGGTGTTGGAAGTAGGGGGCAAGTGGTTATTTGTGGTGTTGTGTCTACGTGAATGTTCTTCTGCTTAGATATGGATTTGACAGTGACACTGGATGGAGATCCTTTGGCCAAACGTGAGTTGGATTGGGTATTTGTCTTTTTGCAATGAACGTACATGACATTGGTAGTGAGATGAAGACTTGGTCGTGTGCTGTTGTTCACATGGAGGTGTTGGTTTGTAATTTAGCAAACCATGTGAGGGCTAGGATTAATTGGCATGGACGTGGATGTGTGCAGAGCATGTGTTTTGTGTTGATAAAGCCGAGTTAATCGATGTGTGTGTGTGTGTGTGTGCATGTCTGGATGAATTCGAAGTTGAAAGACGTAGGTGCTCATGAACGTGGGAACAAAATGTGGACATGGTGGAGAGATTTAGCCCAGGACGTGGAAAATTGAGTGAAGTGGTTTTTCTGAATTGTAGAGTCCGTGATGCTCGACTCAGTGGTGTCGGGTGAGGAGAGGTCGATTGCACAGGTGAGGAATGGTGTGTGTAGTGTGTGGGAGTGCGGTGTCATTGTGGGTGTGTGTGTGTGTGTGTGTGTTTAGTGTATTGAACGGGGGAACATTGTTTTGTGTGTGTGTGTTGTAGGTGCCGAAACGCAAGATGACATATCGTGGACGTCGAGGCACAAGAAGCAGTGGCGGTGGTAATGGTAGGATTGAAATGGTGTGGTTGTAACAGCCTTGTAGAATCTGTGATGCGCGTAGACTTTGGCGGTGTGGCACAACAGAAGAGTTGCACACCAGGTAAGTCGAGTTAGCCGATGCGTTGGATGGTGTGGTGTTGTGGCTGGAAGATAAGCGTGCATGTTGGTGTAATTTTAGTAGATGCAGAGGCACCGACGAAGAAGCCGTGCCGCGAGTCTGAAGGTGACAAGGGCGAGCCAGGAGAAGGTATTGGCGTTGAAGAGGAAGGCGGTGGCGTAGGAGGAGGAGGTTAGTGAGTGGATGATTTAATGTGGTGTGCTGATTTGTGGTGAAGTGTTGCACACGAGGTAGACGGGTACCTTGTAGGGCGACGTGGTAGGCGAGGAGGTGTAGTTCTAGGTGGAGGGTGGGAGGAGGTCGGTTTGCGAAGTGTGCCAGCAGTTGTGCGAATGTGTGAAGTACAGTTTGACCTAGAGAAGTGGTGTTTGATTTGGCGATGGTTGCGCGTGTGTGCGTGAAAAGTGGAAATGGAGATGTAGAGTTCCTCGATGAATAGGGAACGTTTGGACGTCGTGTTGTTGTTAGTGTATGAGGGAAACCAGTTTGGTGGATGTGTTGGGATGGTTTGTTGGATAGGTGTGAATGGCCTAATTGGGGGTGTTTGTTAAGGTGCGCAATGATTTGGACTGTGGAGGAGGGAGGTAGAGTTGGATTGACTTTGTTGTGTTAACCTGCAGGTGCGGAAAAGGTTGGTTCACCATCGTCGGATGTTCCAGCTGGTGAAGGTGGAGCGAAAGTTGCTTCATTGAATGGCAGTCGGTCGGAAGCTGTCGGTAAGTTGTCTGTGTGTGTGTGTGTGCGGATGGTGGAGAGTTGAAGCTTGGTGTATTGGAAGTTGGCGGTGCAATCGTAGCCGCGTGCAGTGGTGTGGCGGGGTGACGTTGGTGAGTGAGAGTGTGAGTGTGGAGGATGCGTGTGGAGCGTGGTGTTGGAAGTAGGGGGCAAGTGGTTATTTGTGGTGTTGTGTCTACGTGAATGTTCTTCTGCTTAGATATGGATTTGACAGTGACACTGGATGGAGATCCTTTGGCCAAACGTGAGTTGGATTGGGTATTTGTCTTTTTGCAATGAACGTACATGACATTGGTAGTGAGATGAAGACTTGGTCGTGTGCTGTTGTTCACATGGAGGTGTTGGTTTGTAATTTAGCAAACCATGTGAGGGCTAGGATTAATTGGCATGGACGTGGATGTGTGCAGAGCATGTGTTTTGTGTTGATAAAGCCGAGTTAATCGATGTGTGTGTGTGTGTGTGTGTGCGTGTATGAGTGTGTGCATGTCTGGATGAATTCGAAGTTGAAAGACGTAGGTGCTCATGAACGTGGGAACAAAATGTGGACATGGTGGA